CCAATCACAGCCCCAGACGTGTGCCACCTAAGTAGACTTTGAGTTTAAGCGCGCGCTAAACCACGTCAGCCAGATTTATTATTTTTTTGCGGAGTCTTACTAAAAGTCGTTTTGCTTACCACGCACGCTGATCGTGGCCGAACTGAATCGCCCTATGGACCTATACGAAGCAGTAAGTACTGATAGTTTAACGCGTTGCAAAGTCACTTCGTAGCCATTTTGTTTGACTGAAATCTGGTCGCACTTTTTNTCATAGAATTACTGGGATTGGCTACCCGCAGAAATACAAGATTACGTGATTTCCCTAGCCGTTTCGCAACATGCCATAGATACGAAAAGGAAGAAACTATTGGACAAACTTCATGAAGAAATTGTGGATTATGCAAGATTAAAGAAAGCCTGGGGATATGGTCACATAGAATTAATAACGATAAAAAGTAATTTTATCGTTTATTTACGGCCATTATGTTACCGCCCGTAACGAGAAAAAGAAAATGTATTTAAGGTACAACTTTAAAGAGGTCTTGAATAACGTAGACGAGAAACAAATCGTTCTCCGCTGACATATGATTGGATGTGTTATTAACCAATAAAAAACATTTGTGTTTGACTTCATACAAATCAACCTGACCTTGGTACGCAGAAATCAGCCTGACCTTGGCGCGCGCGCGAGCTCTATCCCGCAAATCAACCACGTCAGCCAGTTTATTATCTTTTTTGCGGAGTCTTACTAAAAGTCGTTTTGCTTACCACGCGCGCTGATCATGGCCGAACTGAATCGCCCTATGGACCTATACGAAACAGTGAGTACTGATAGTTTAACGTGTTGCAAAGTCACTTCGTAGCCATTTTGTTTGACTGAAATCTGGTCGCACTTTTTTCATAGAGTTACTGGGATTGGCTACCCGCAGAAATACAAGATTACGTGCTTTCCCTAGCCGTGTCCCAACATATCATTGACCGCAGAGGAAACACATTGTTAAGAAGGCTTCTCAAAGAGATGTTATTTCACGCCAAACTGCTAAGAGCCTGGAGACATGGTCGCATAGGAATAACATATTCCTCTTACTATATGACGGACTACGGACCGTACATATTGCGTCCTCCGAAGATCCACGGATATTATTATTATGACGCCGTCCGTTAAGCGAAAACATTTCTAGGGTGCAACTTTAAAGAGGCCCTGAGTAATGCAAATGATTATCTGGATACAAGGATTTCATGATGTATGCTTGCATGTGTTATTAGCCAATAAACATTTGTGTTTGACTTCATACAACTCAACCTGATATAGGTGTGTCTCAAATGTATTTGGTATGTTTCGCAATGCGGAGATTGTGCTAGTTGTAGCTGTCATGGATCCTTCTGACGGTTGTGGCTGTTTGACATCTCGTGGTTGGTGTCCGTGTTGTGACATTTTGTAGTCGTTTTGATGACTCTGGTTGTTCGGGCTCTTGTGGGTGTTTTGGTTCTTTGGGAGGTTGCAGCCGTTGTGGCCCCTCTGGTTGTTTTGGGCCTTCGAGAGGTTGTGGCTGTTGTAACCCTTGTGAGTGTTTGGGCCTATGGTAGGTTAGAGCCATTGTTGTCTTTTTGGGTGTTTTTGGCCTTTCA